ATTGTTGTAAATCAAGGCCTACCCAGGGGTGGGATTCTACCAGTTCGGACCAGTTGGGGCAAACTGGTAGTTCCAGTGAGCATTTGGCCCCACCCACTCACCCCTGCTCTTTCCTGTGCTTTATTTCCTGGTTTTTTAGCACAGCTGATTCACGGCAAAACCACCTCAGCTGTTTTATTCACTGGGGCTGCAGTGGAGGGTAAGTAACTGAGTTGAAAATGGGCTTTTGACAATGCTGAATGTGCACACAAAGCACACACTCACCAAACTGGTTTTACACCAGTTGAATTGCACCACTGGGCTTACCTGAATGGGACCAAAATATTGTGACAGTCACTAAATGCAGTTGTAAGTCAGCAGTGTGAGCCAGCAGTGTGCAGCAGCACCCAAAAAAGCCAACGCAATCCTAAGTTGCATTAACAGAGGGATACAATCAAGATTAAGTGAGGTACTAATATCAGTCAATAAAGCCTTAGTAAGACCACACTTAGAGTACTAGAGTTTTGGTTACCACCCTATAAAAAAGATGTTGAGGCTCTAGAAAGTGGGCAGAGAAGAGCAACCAGGATGATGAGGGGACTGGAGGCTAAAACATTAAATGAACGGTTGCAGGAACTGGGCCTGGCTAGTCTAGGGAAGAGAAGGACCAGGGGAGACATGGTAGCAGTCTTCCAATATTTGAGGGGCTGCCCCAGAGAGGAGGAGGGGGGTCAAGCTATTTTCCAAGGCACCCGAAGGTCAGACAAGGAATAATGGATGGAAATTGAACAAGGAAACTGAACAATTCAACCTGGAAATAAGGAGAAACTTTCTGACAGTGAGAACAATCAACCCACGGAACAGAAGTTGCCCTCAGAAGTGGTGGAAGCTCCAACACTAGTGGCTTTCAAGAAGAGATTGGACTCCCATCTGTCAGAGATGGTATAGGGTCTCCTGCTTGGGCAAGGGGTTGGACTAAATGACCTACAAGGTTCTTTCCAACTCTGATTATCTGTTATCTGAATCGCACCACTGGGCCTACTTGAACTGAGACTACAGTATTGTGACCGTCACTAAATGAACTGTTGTAAGTCAAGGACTGCCTGTGTTCAAGAGCTGATAGAACTGTGAAAGTCAAAATATATGGAGTAATGAAATGCGCAGAACAAAACACACACACTTTTTCCTTTTCAAAAATGTATTTATGGAAGGCTTCCAAAGAATGAATGTTAATTGTTGTTAGGCACAATAACAGAGTTGGAAGAGACTTTCAGACTGGAATTTGTTTAAATAAATAACCTAACCAACACTAAGCAGGGTTTCATACTTCCTGCCAACTCAGTGGCAAAATTGAGATGGATATTCTTTTCAAAACAGCCAACTGATTTAAAAAAAACAAATTAAAGAAATCATCATTATCTGTTCATTATTCCCATTCAAGGCAAAAAATATCTATTTGTAGACTCCCTTCGGTGGAAATAAACGAGACCAACAATTTATGAGGCTTAAATTGTTTTGGGGACTTGTAGGATAGTCCACACTTTGAATATGCATATATTCGATAATGAAATTTAATAATTCAGGGTTCCTCCAACATTCTTCCACTGGAGATCACCCAAATTAGATTTTTCAAGGAACCTGAAGCACTGATTAGGAATTATGTAAATTCCATGTCTAAGTATAAATTCAATTTCCATAAATTGATTGGGAGGCTGGTGTTAGATTCTCTGTCCCACCCACTGTTATTCCACGGGTTTTCTGAAAGAACAAAGATGCTCTCAAAAGCAAAATAAAAGAGGACTTCTGGACTACCCATTGTCAACTTGTAAAGCATCCCTATGCCTGTTTTCGAGCTGCCATAAGCAGGTGGGGGGAAAAACCTGAAGGAGCAGTACGGCAATTAAAACCAGAAGTACATTCCATGCTTATCTTACAAGGATTGTAGCCTAGGCTACCAGACCAGGAAAATCCTTCATTAGAGAGTATGATTGATGACACGCAGCCATGAAGAGTTGGCTTCATGGGGGTCAATGCTGACATGTTGCTCCTAATAAATATTTTGGATTCTTTTAAAGCTTGGCTTGAGGCTCATGATTTAATTCGGGCAATTGCTGGAACACTGACAATTGTGAGCAAATAGGAAGCAAAGTGGGAGCCAGGGAGGAATGAAATGAGCAGGAGCTCCTAATCTTCCTTGGCTTCTAAATCATAAATCAAGGCTCATTTCCGCAAACAATGACTTCTAGAAACTTCAGCTTAGCCTTAGATAAAGGAGAATATTTGCATCTCAGGATTGAAATGGGGGGACGCTTGGATGCTTTCTGAGTTTTATTGTTTTGCTGTAAATGTTTCATTGTCCACATCATCAGAATTAGAAGGGTGTGATGTTTCAGGAGTGGAGGAAGAGGAGGAGGAAAAGAGACAGAAAGAGAGAGAGAGAGAAAGAGAGAAAGAAAGACAGAAAGATTGAGAGAGAGGGTGAGGAGTGAGAGAGGAACAGAGGGAGAGAGGGATCAGAAAAAGTTGTTTCTGTCTCAATGGAAAATGTTTGTTAGGACTCAAAGTAATACAGCTGAGAATCACAAATATAGGTCCTTGGCTTTAGTTCTTTCCTCAAAAGTCAGAAACCTTGAAGTGCTCAGTATCAGAGAAGACAGGGTGGAATTCAAAATCTCATTCCTGTTTCCATCAAACGTCTTCCCTCCAGGAGCTCAACTACACAACAACTTGACCTGCCTTGGAAGACTTGCTTACATTTTGCCAAGGACCTGAATTTGCAACGGTGCCCCCATGAATGTAATTTTTTCCTTTATGTACACCGAGAGCATATATACCGAAGACAAATTCCTTGTGTGTCCAATTACACTTGGCCAATAAAAGAATTCTATTCTATTCTATTCTATTCTATTCTATTCTATTCTATTCTAT